ATTTTCATCCGCAACATTACGTATGAGTAACAATTGTCCAATTACACTCGAATTTTGACGCATTTTAATCGGAAGATTTTCTTCAATTCATTCATGACATTTTCATTAAAATATATTGCAAATTGTAAAAGTTTAAATTTTCATTTGTGCGTCATTCCTTATCTCATCTACGTCTGTTTACATTGTATGCCGATGGGTCGGTCGCTGGCCTTGGACGTTCGGCGAGAATCGAAATCTCGCCACGAGCCGTAGGCCGTAGCTATTCCATCGTTCTCCTCACGGGTAGAATTGCTTGCGGGACATGAGGCAACAGCGTAAGAAAAACGATAGTGTCCGGCAACACTGTCTTCGCGTAGGAAATACACAACAAAATTTATTTGTGGGTACTGCCGCTAGATGTCGTATTATCAAGCCGTCCCAAATATCGATGTTGTGTTTCCGCTAGCATCCGATTGTTTACATCAGCGCATCGATCGATTCGGAGTTGGTCCCAAAGGAGTCTCCCTCCTATGCATCCGGCTAGATTATGTAATCGCCCACGGGGTGTTATGGCGTGGCCAAATTTTCTTGGAAAACAGTATCCGTTGAGAACAGGCGTGTCCCCCACTACTTTTAGTCTCGATTTTCGGGACATAAAAATGGACGCGTACAGCTCATCCGTGGATCATACTCATATCAGAAGTCTAGCTAGTGAGTTCGGGTATTAAAATCCTTGTCAAGCATTTCTAAAAGTAAACTAAACTCTGCATAAGCACTTGTAAGACTTCCATTTAATTGAAGATGTCTGTATAGCTAAAAAAATTTTCGAATTACTCGAATATATTCGTTCAGATCTGTAACTTTCGAGCTACTCGTAAATATTCGAATTGCTCGAATTACTCAAATATTTTTTTATTTACTATCAAATACTAATCTCTATGCAATGGAAAAAAATCATCTCAAGAAATGAAAATAAAGCAGAAAAATTAAATTAGAATCTTACATTTTTTTTCCTTACAATTAGATTAGTATTTGATAATAAATAGATAAATATTCGAGTAACTCGACCAATTCGAATATTTATGAGTACCTCGGAAGGTAAAGATCTGTTCGAATATATTCGAGTAATTCGAACATTTTCGAGCTGAAAACTCATCTTCCAGTAAATCGAAGTCTTACGAGCGCTCGAATATTTAAGCCAGTCGAGTTCTTCAAATAGCCCGCATTTTTCTCAAACAGTTGGTCGATTTCAAGTAGTCTGAAAATTCAAACGCTCAACTGAGCTCGACCGTTACTGTTCAATAGCTAAAAATTTTTGCAATTTTCAAAAAGCGTTTCTGATAGACCTTTATGAACTGAATACGAATCTGCAAACCGTTTCTTTGCAGCACGTCCAGTTGTTGAAAAAATCAATTAAAAATTTTTTTTTTCAAAAACTGGATCTGCTGAGAAGAAACGGTTTGCAGATTCGTATTCAGCTCATGAAGATCTATCAGAAACGCTTATTACAGGTTACAAAAACGAGAAAAAGTTCAAATTTATTCAACAGTGTTATTATTTAACTCGAAATTCGAGTACTCGCACATCCCTACCCGCAACGTCGCATATGTACGTTCGATCAGTGACTAATACCGTGTATTATTTGCAGTCAGATGCGCACCTTTCAAGGCGTCTACTTTTCATGTGCTTCCTAACAACTACCATGTGCCAGCTGTTGATGTTCACGTACAGCTGCGACGGGCTGGTTCAAGAAAGCTCCGGTATAGGCACAGCGGCATACATTAGTCCATGGCCATTGTTACCAATGTCGAGACAAGGGCATAAGTTACGGGACGATCTAAGAATGGTCGTTATACGATCCAGAACACCATGTTGCTTGACCGCCAGTGGTTTCTTTCCGATATCATTGGAAACTTATACCACGGTAATAAATATTATAAGTATCTGGATTGCGGATGCTTATGCATTTATAGTGCGCCCTAAATTGATAAATATACAGTAAAGTAGAGGACTCTAATAAAGTTAGATACTAAAATTGTAAAAGTTTTTTGCCATAGTTTCGCGGAAGCGATAAATAATTATGTTCATATATTACATATCGATGTTTATGTATTAAAGTGAAGTGTTATTTCGAACCAAAACTAACGCGATCGAGGTTTTTGTAATGTTTAAAACGAAATTGAAATTAAATTTTTGAACAGAAATTTGAAAAGGAACAGAATAAACTTCACAAACAGCGTAAAAGAACATTTGTGCACCGCTTGAAGAAGCTATTATGTGAATTCGATTCTGAGGTAAACTGTACATTTTTCAATATTGTTTAATTGTAGAAACTCAATAGTAATAATGATATTCCAAAAAGTTGTCACAGTACAAACTTTTATCGAAAACAAATATATTATAAAAGAAACATTATGTGTTTCATTACATTATTATTAAATTACAGTTTTTTAAATTCAAAACTTTTGCATTCACCTAATATTTATTATATCCGTTATTAATGTTCTATTATTATAATATTCACATATTATTGTCATATCCTATATAATATTTTCACCAATTTTAATTAGTATATGTTAATATAAAAAATTGTAAATTTGCATAAAATTCCGCAATTCAATTGTAATCCTTATGAATAGGAAAATGTCTGTTGCAGGTTCTAAGTACAGCGATGTCGTACTTCACGCTGCTGAGACAAAGTACGATTTCATAGTTCCACAATGATAGTTTGTACATATATGTATGTATAGATTAAATCCCGTGTTCTATGTACATTAGATACAAATCAAATATTTGCACTGTTATGTTACGTGAAAAAAAATTCAATTATGGGGAAGAAAGAACGGCCTTCAAAGTAGTTCCGATCTTTAGAAAACATCAGTTTGAGTCCGTTGTAAAAAATGTATCCGTCTTATTTATTTATTCCTTTACTTGCTTCACCCAGTACTCTGTCATCATTATCAGTCACGTGTCTTTCTATTTGTTGCTGCAATTATACTTTCCATTGACTGCAATTTTTTCATTACGCCCAAATATGTATAAGCCACAATGATTTCAATCGCCGATGGAAAAAAAATTCCATAAAGTATGTCATACAGTATATGAAAAAATCTACTTAATTTGACACATTAACTTTTAGATCATATATGTATTAATTTGTTTGATAGTTATACGTACGTAAACTAATTTACACTGTACATGATCATTCAATGTGTTCGACAACAAAGGAGAAAAAAGGTAGGAGGTGACTCTTGCATGAAAATGTAAGACTGAAAGTACAACTAAAAATAAGGTTAACATAAGTGTCATTAAACCTTCCATGTTTTATTTATAAACATTTACAAAGGTCAGGTTAGGAGCGCCTGATGCTCGACAACCAGACTATCACCAATGCATGCAGGGTAACCGAAGTGAAGCTTTTGCAGTGGTAAAAGCGATAAAAAGGAAATCATTTATTTACGTAAATAATCCGTTAATTTGTTCTTTCCTCATTGATTCATTATAAATTTATGCAATTTATCAGTTTTATCACAGATAAAGAAATTTTCATTAAAGATAATAATCCAATTGTAAAGATTCAATTATTTTTCGGGTAATCGATGTGGTAAAGTAGACGACGCGTGCGGTAGTACAGTTCACTAAATTCTTACCTTCGGTGAAACGTCGTAACTTATGACTTGAATATTCATTTGATCTGATTGTGAGCGATTTTAACCATGTCGTTATAATTCTTATTGAACAACAATCATTGGTACTTCGTTTAGATTCTTTGGACTTTAAATGTTGTGTTTTTTGGAGTGACTGAACTACAAAAAATTCCCTATAGTTTTTTCCAAGTGTAAGTATCTAAATGTATAATCTTTGATAAGAGTATACATTTATAATAATTACCCATGATTAATGAATAGATAATTAATGTATAGGAAAAACGAGCAACACTATTGTATATATCACATAATTATTAATAGCATGATAACAAGAAATATGAAGTCTCTTGCCAATTTACTATAACAAAACAACAGAAGCACGATAAACTATTTATCGAGCGTCTAGTGCAATGATGTTCAAGAAACAGCATCAGAATCTTTGCAATTATTAATTATTAAATAAGATAAGAAATCTTGTACTAAGAAGTGAATGATGGTGTCATCGAGTGTGACATAGATGAACTAAGAACACGCAGTGTAGAGAAAATATAAAAGCAATTTTCGGAATGATTTAGAAAAATTGTATTTGATCGCGTTAGAAAAACTGTAAAATTTCATAAAATAAAAGTATAGGTACCTTAGGTGCATGAAAGTTTTGAAACGAATATTTAATAGATATCTCTCGATTCTCTTCACAACAGTGTCGTTACTACTACTCAAGGTTGATCTCTGGTTTCATGATGCATTCAGACACAAACAATCCGAATGAAGTCCACATTAACTCCGAACGAAATGAATGATGGAATTTATAAATCAGAAACCGTAAAAAAATATTTCACCGAGAGTTGAGCCGTTCATAAACATTCACAGTCTAGAAATAACCCACAGGCCAAAGTGGCCAACTGCAATTTCTTTATTTTTTTCAAATTTAACGTCAATTGATTTTACTTGATTCGTGCTCAACTTTCTATATTTAAAGTAAACATTCTTAGTAATTTCTGTGGCATTAATCATTCCGGCAAATGAACTATTGGTGAAACCAATTTTTCTACAAGTTAAAAATTGTCCCGAACTGTCAGTCGTAAAGTTCAACAAACAAGCCATTGACACTTCCTCAATAGCACGCGAGTGAAGGACTGCTTCATCCGTCATTCGATAGCCCATCATCATAGAGTGCGATACAACAACGATTCTCCCTGCACAAATTATAATTCCTCACATCTTTTCCTAACTATAAACTATCTTTTTGAAAAAGCAATATCTGACTAGCACCCACTGTTACATGTAACAGCGGTGTTCCCGTGATATCATGCATAACTCATCGATTCCTCGTATTACTGACTCGTTGAGAAGTAGCAATTGCGATTGGACACATGCTGCCGTGCTACCGTGATGAACAGCGATTGAAGGATGACTATAAGGTGGAGGGACGATGAATAGTGAATGTCGCAAGATCAAAGACCAGATTGAATCGATTTCATTTGATCTACCATTGATGATCGACTCGAAATTTCCGTGCACGAAATTCGAAATCCCGGTTATTCGAAATTCGACATGAGCTGGATAAAGAACAAAGACATTTCCATCGCCATATCGGCCCTCCTTATGAAGTGCGTCGGGATTTGGTGCGCGAATAATCCTTCGGTGCAACGTTTCAGAAATGCCACGTTCATCTACACCGTATGCACGCTCGTTGTCGCTGTCTGGATACAATCGCAGGATTTTTATCACTCGTGGGGGGATTTTGGTGTAAGTGTATCTTGATTATCCTTCTATCGCTAGGTGTAACTTTGAATTTACATACCAGTTTTACCATTATTAACCCTTAACTGGTGTGATTGGGTGTTCGAGGAACCTCATGAATTTTTTTTGAATACTTCATTTCTCTTTCAATAGTTACTTAAAGAGATTCTTGTTCACTTCGATGTTTTCTTACGCGAGAATGAAAACCAGCTAGTAGTGCAATAGGTAATAACATTCGAGTAAGTTTTTTGTTTCATTGCTAATCGATAAGAAGCCTATTCTGATTTACCTTTGGATCATGTCATTAGGGCTGTTGCTATGTTTCCCGATTCTAATTTGCTACTGTTATAAGTAGATCATTGGCTAGCGATTGCTGAGTCTATGAGATTTATCAATTTAATAAAAGAATAAGATAATTTCGTTCTCGTTGCAGACCTGCACATATATTGTATGCAATATTCTGTGCTTGAACATTGCTTTTTTCAAGATATTCTTCCTGTCTATACAGAGAAAGAAATTTCTTGATTTAGTCGTGTACATGGAAAAGCATTTCTGGCACTCAAACTACACTACATACGAGCAGACGATCTATGACAGTTGGAGACGTCTTTGCACGTACTTCATTTGCATCTTTACCTTCTTTACGGAAGCCTCGAATATCAGTTATGTGATCAAACCGATTGCGGGTAAATCATTAAATTATTATTACTAAATTCGATATATTCGATAGATACATATGAGTGGTGAGAAGAGTAGGTAGCAGGTGATTCCTTGTGCAAAAGTAACTCGAGAACCCAGAGTAAAACTCTTTCGTTCTATTTTGCGAAAAAATCGACTATCAAAGTTTATCTAACATGTACACCATCGCTCAAGAATTTGAGATCCCCGACTGCATAAATAATCGAACTGCATGTTTTAATGAAAAATATGTAAATGCTTTGATATACATATGTTTTCTAAAAAATACGGCACTCTAATATATTCTGTTGCCTCAATGAGAACAAACTAAATACTAACCACATCATACGGTTATTAACAAAATACAATGTAACAGAACGTTCATCATAGTAAGCTTGCTTTTCGATATTACAAAGAACGTTAGTATTTTGTTAAATAGTTGAAATTCTGTAAAATATATGGACTGCAGATACATTTTTCTATTTTGCTATTATTTTTCCATTTAAATTACGAGAACATTTTTTTTATATTCTCAATCAAATGAAAGATAATACACTATTTTATTTGCAATGGATAACAATGTAGAACAACAGAAGTATAGGATTCTTTAAAAGTTACGATGATAATTATCCCAAATTTCTGAGCGGTGGTCTACATGGTCGAGCTTAGATTAAGTAGAAAACTAGTAACAGGTCTGACACATGAACCAAAGCTTTTTCAGTTCTACCCTCATGAGCAAACTCAGCTTCCGTTAGGGGAAAAAGTGGCGTAAGAGAAGGACCTCCTACCACTTCGTAACATTTCGGGTACGGAAATAAATATTAAACCGAATATTAATTTGGCATAAATTTCAGTAACTCCTGAGATCAAGTGATAAGAAATCCTTTCCATACGCGTATAGAACAGATTTTCAAAATTAACATTTTCCAGAATTAAGTAGGGTATGAAAATATTTTATTCTGCATTTGTGACTTATTTTGCGTAACGAAACATCTCACTTCCGCTTGTACCACTATTCCGGTGGCATCCTGTATAGATATACATAGTGAAGTGCAAAAAAGTATCGGACCGAAGCATTATTCTGCAAAATCTTTTAAATCTTGTACAAACTTAAGCCTGAAAATTAATATCGAATTTTAGTATCTTCAGTTCGAAGATACTGAATACACTGTATAAGGTCTGCCAGAAATATGTTATGACCCAACATTTTAGTACTCCGTCGTAAGTACTTTAGTGGACAGAAATATAACTTTCTTTTCAGTTACTTGTAACTGATTAACTTGTAAACTACAGATAAAGTAGTGATTATAATACGCGTATCGTGTTCTTTAAACGTTTTCATGTAGGAATAATCCACTTTAATGTACTTTAAAAATAATTTTAAATCACAGTTTAAAACCAATTGTATCGACAAATTTTTTACCACAGTTAGTAATACAATCTTTGATCGGATTATTTATATAAAACAAAAAATCCTTGGCTTATTAAGAAAATAACATACTTACTTCTACAGCAAATATTGGGAAAAATGAATCGGACAGAATACTTCCATTTAACATATGGCTAGACCTTCCATTGTCCATGACGCCATACTTCGAAATTACGTTTTTATTGCAGGTAATTATTAATTTACAGAAATCCACACTAATATAGGACAGAATTTCATGTAACCTTATAATGAAGTTCATTATTAATGTCAGTACTATACTAACCTTAAATTTATTATAATCTGATAAATATAAGGAATTAATCTCTAGTAAGAATGCTCCCCAGTACCTCCAATACATATAAAATTGGTTGAACATATTCTTATATCAGTGACATTAATTCTGTCTTCCTAGGAACATATACTGAAATTTATTATTAAATTAAGTTACATGCATACAGTATTAGGTGTATGCAAGCGGAATGGCCCACTTGAAAATTAAATTCTCCGTTCACAAAATGAAATAAAACCACACTGTCAACTTAAATACGACGACCATTAGATTTACGTACACGTAATATATTCCTTATTTCTCAATACATTCCTCAAAAATCTTTCGATCACTACGTTTGTTCAGGTACTATCCTTGTACCACGTGGGCTTGTGTTATATTTGCTGCGATAATTTCTTGTGCATTATGAACCTCCACGTGGCTGGCCAGTTTCGTATATTGCAGTACAGATTCAGGAGCTTGCACACGTTACAAATTAAGGATAAAGAACACCAAATACAGAACACTGGTTCCTCGTACATCGCCGAAGAGTATTACAACTCATTCAAAACCTGCATCCAACAGCATCAAGCACTCACTACGTTCTGCGCTGGACTGGAAAGTGTGTTCAGCCAAATTGTGCTCGCGCAGGTGTTGACTTTCAGCTTGTTGATTTGCCTCGTTGGATACCAGTTAGTATTGGTTAGTATAATCCTAGATTACATATGTAAATTGCAAACTAATAGATGAATTTCTCTGAAGCTAACTCGATCAACATAGTTGTCATTCAACTAAACTTCAGTATTTTCTGTACAAGATAGGCCAAAACTAATGGTACAACCGGACATGAGATTATTCTATGTGCAAAAATAGGTGAAAAATATAGAATGAAGCTTTTTCGTGTGAGAAATTTATGTCCGAGATAATCGAATTCGAAAATGTGCTAGATACTTCGGCTAATGCGTCTGTTCATTACATTCCTTTTCTACTTATTGCCACCGCAAATAGGTACGAGTTAGATAAATTTTCAATAATTATTATCTTGGAAACGGAACATTATATAAAAAAATTTTATTCTACATTTTTGTCTTACTATTGCATATAGAATAGCTTCCATTCGGTTGTACGACTTATGTTGGACCACTCTATACAGGGTGGCCCACATAACTCTTAACAGCTCAATATCTCGAAAACTATGCCATCGATTTTAAAGTTCTTGGTCTTAAATTGCATGAATCTGAAGAGGATTTCTAACTACATGAACGTGAAATGGCCCCCTTCCCCTTTCAGGGGGGCGGGGGTACCTTTATAATTTTAAATGGCACCCCCTATAAAAGGTTACATATTTAGATTCTAGGCAAAAACAAGTAATATAACACGTATATAGTATAACACGTATTCTTTGTTTCATATTCTCTTTTGTCGTCGGCGGTTCAAACATAACTTTGTCCTTTACATATCCCCATATGTGACGCTTGCGCTTCAGTGACTCCCGAAATGTTAACAAATGTTAGAACAACTTTGATGTTTCGATTAAATAAATGTTTACAAGCCCGTGGTGGACATTTTGAACATTTAATTTAAAGAACATTTTATTTCTTCACGAATAAGCGAAGGATTTAAGCGCGTATAATTCAATAACGCAATTTCCGAGCGCTTCAAGTAAGTACCTACATGTCGAAACTTCAAACTGTTATATCTCATCATAGAAATATCTCACAAAGAAATGTTTCCGACAAAATTTATTTGTTTTTTCCTGTAGAATCTAAATACGTAACGTTTTATAGGGGGTATCATTTAAAATTATAAAGGTACCCCCCCCTTAAAAGGGAAAGGGGAGGTCACTTCACGTTTATGTAGTTAGAAAGGCCCTTCAGATTTATCCAATTTAAGACCAACAACTTTAAAATCGATGGCATAGTTTACGAGATATTGAGCTGTTAAGAGTTATATGGGCCACCCTGTATATTGGATCGTTGCTTGTTGAATTTTGCTCCACGTGCTTCATTTCAGCCATCTTGAAATCGTTACGCGTAATTAAGCTAAGCTTGCAACTCGATGACAAAATGTGTGTCTATCCAAATAGATTTTATTTTGACTAAATTCCTTCAATCATTGAAACTTTTCAGTATAAAGAACGACATTTATTATGCAACAACCTAATCCAGTATTCGTACTTTGGGTTTAAGTATAGCTTGGTTGAGCTTCACCTTCACACCATTTGTAATGTTTCAGTTCTGCGTTTTTTATTTTTCTTCCTCTACTGTTTTTTAGGTTGTATATGTTTCTTGTTCAGTGGTACAATGAAGACATTATTATTATTCTCTTTGCTCCAATTGCGTCTGACAAGATGATGTACTTTATAAGGTGCAGAATTCCATTATACTCAGTTACCTCCTTACAAATTATTTCCCAATGATTTCCAAGGAAGAAGTTCGCTAACCAGAAAATTCGGACGTTTTTTTTTAAGTTTACAGGTAACTTTTTTCTTCTCACTACTTTATAGTTCGTCAGGGTGTAAACACCCTTTAAATGCTCATGTGTATTTATTAATTTTCCTACATATCTTGAAAAGTATGATAGATATAAAAACATTGGTAAAATAAATATTTAATTGTCTTTTATATTCTATAAGATTGTATAGCAGAATTATTAAAAATATATGATTCAATATATATATATATATTTACAACAATTTCATTGTCTAGATTTACAGAACATAAAAATCCACTAAATTTTCATTCTACCAATTTTTTTTTCTATACAAAAACATACAAATCTACTACAATTTTCAAGATATACAAAGAAATAAGAAAACACACATTAAACTTTAAGGGGTATTTCCCCTCGCCCGAACCAACAAGTAGCAAAAATCAAAATTGTTTGATACTTCTATTGAGGTTACCTGGAAGCTGTAAGTATTTAAAAAAATCGAAATTTTCGGGTCACCGAAAATCCTTTGTTAGTGAGATTTTATTTACATTACACCGTGTTCGATAAGCGTCTTTCTCCATTCTTATTCAAAACTAATGACTTGTTACTTTCCGACGCTTCTTTCATGTTTTCGACACAATGGACCACACAGACTAATTCGTCTTCTACGAGCCACGTTATATTCGTGAACCTCTTGTCGTCGACTATGTGCCAGCTGTTCATGTTCACGTACAGTTGCGATTGCTTGATACGTGAAAGCACGGACGTATGTACAGAGGCGTACGTAGCACCGTGGAGTGAATTACCGATCGACAGATACGGGAAAATGCTGCGAAAGGATCTGCAATTTGTAATGATGAATGAAGTCTTGTTGCCTGACGGCCAGTAAATTCTTTCCGGTGTCGCTGCAAACTTTTACCAGTGTAATTATCGAATTTTTTACCTAAATTCATATTTTCACAGGAATTCTAATTAACTTTCGTCTTTACATTTGCTTTGCATGTGTTCCATTAATAAGTTTCAGTAGATAATTCATAACGGTATACAGTGAATCCTCGATGAGTGTTCGAGGGCTTCTCGGCACTGAGACGGAGAGATCCCCAGGTGTAACGCTGGTTTTTTAATCAGGTTTAATACATTCATAGAGTTTGGAATTCTGAATCCAACGATATTTGTTTCAGTCGCATATGGCCATTAGTTTATGAAATATTTAATGTTCAGTGCCAAGGAGCCTTCGAACTCTCATTGAGTATTTACTGTAATTCACTTTGGAATTCTCATTTCGTATTGAACTGATATTTCGCCATGATTTTGTTTTAATATTTGAATTCGAATGTACACTACCGTTAAAAAGTTTGGGATCAGTCATATTTTTTAGTTGATTTGTTGAGAGCATGTTGTGCATTGTGTTAAGAGTTAAGAATTAAGTATTTGTGTTAAGTATTAGTACTTCTACTTCTTGTACTAATTGTCTTTCTCTCTTGTTCTTGCCTTTAATTTTATTGTTAAATATGATTAAGTTTAATTCTCTTGCAATAAGTTCTTTATGTAATATGAATGTATATTGGGCGAATATACGCCCGTATCAATAAATTATTATTGTTATTATTATTATCATTTTAAAGTAGGACATAACGACTAAGAAAATTGATCCAGGATCTTTAGACCCTTTTTTTTTTGCTTTTTACCGCGGAGACGTCCTTTAACCTTCCTTCCCTCTTTGGAGGAACAAGGTTAAATGGCGTCTAGCACAGAATACCGGGAGTCAAATCGGTGACCGGTCGTCTCTCCCGAAGTCTTGTTTTCACAGTGCCGGGAGAGACGCTGTGGGTTAGGATGGAGTAATTTAAATAACAACAAAAAAATATACCATTCCATAGCTTGTCAAGAAAAAATAGTCTGTGCCAAGTTTCAACTCTGTATCTCGATCAGGAGGGTAGTAATAGGGAAAATTCGGATTATCGGTTTTTCCTCTATTTTCCCCCTTTAATGACGCGCAAAAATTGTAAAAAATCTGATAGATAGTATTTATCGGGGCGCCTGTTGGAGATTTCTTGTGATTTTTCAGTTGAGTATCCCAGTTGTGAAAAATGAAAAAAGATAACAAATATTTTTTTCTTATTGAAGTTTTAACGGCACTAAATTTATCCTTTCACTGTAGCAACATATTATCATAAGTAGTATCCTCAATTTTTGTGAGATTTTTTGGTAGAGTGCGTCATAGTTCAAAAAATCAGAAACCATTTTTTCCGTGAAAAAGTAACTTATACTTTGAATTTTTGTATTTCCTTTATTAAATAAGTATATTGTATGATTTCACGCGTTTCTAAATTCAGCAAACTAATATATAAACTAAAAAAATTAAATTAACACATTGCCTGACACTACACTATGTCCCTTATATGTCAAAACATTTAATCACATACCTACAATCACCGATGGCGCAGCGGCTAAGTGACCGACTGCGAAGTAGAGCTGTGACTTTATAAAATACCCGGGTAACCGGGTACCCGTGAGATACCCGGATAGACAAAAATTAACCAGGTTCCCGTGAGATATCCGGGTACCCGGGTATCCATAAGATATCTGAATTAGTGTTATATAAAGCTCGAGTCTTTGAAGCTACAAAGCTTAGCCTTAAAGACTGAGTCTTTAAGGCTACAATCATATGAAGCTCGAGGCTCAAGGGTCGAGCTCCAAGGCTCGAGTCGTCGAGGCTCGAGGCTCGAGGTTCAAGGCTTTGAGTAGTCGAGGCTCGAGCCTCGAAGCTCGAGGCTTTTATGTTTTACACGTTCACTGCTGAGCGTGTTTCTGCTGGTTTTGTCTTCAGCGCCAAAGAGTGATTGCCCATTAGAATCATATAATAATATATTACACAATATGATTATATGTATTGTACAAACTTATCATGCGTAGTACATTAATCTTGCTGCCGGTCATCTATTACTCCCACGGCGTAAGAGTATATTTCCAGTCGATCAGATAATACTATATTTTGAACATTACAGACAAATTTTTAGCAATGTTTCATTTCGTCTACTATTCAATGGTTATTTTGTTTCATTTTTCATTTCCCTTTCTTGGTATCAATCTCTCATGTGTTTGCAGTCATCGCTGTATTTTTTAAAAACTGTATAAAGTATAATATTATAGATTTAGTGTAAATTCCATTATTTAACACTTAAGGGTTCTAGAGGGTTGAACCTTAAAGCTTCAGACTTAATGTGGAATAACACAGTGACGATTGGCAAAAATTAAGTTTTTTATATATATACTTTCAAAGTATAATTTTTCGAAAATATTCTACCAGAATATTAAGTCGAATATCACGTGAATAACGAAAAAAATGTCCCAACTTTGATCAATGAACCGTGAACAAATTGAGAAATTATTTTGTTCGACGCGTAACATCCTATGACTCGTATATCTTGCTCAAGTATACATAGGTATTTTGTAATAAAAGAAAATTTAACGTATTGTCCAAAATATATATTTGATCACTCTATTAATAATAGTTTAATGAGGTTTGGGTGTTGCAGAACTAATTTATAAAAACCACGCTTTTCTGGACGTTTTTGGATTATTCCCCCTTGAATCTTTAAAAGCTTGAGATTCGTGTAATATTAGAGTTAAAAACTGAAAACTTTTAGGTTAAGTTTGAAGGCTTCGAAAACTCAAGGTCTGTACATTACTTCACTACATACAATTTATACGACTCGAGCCTTCAAGCTTAAAGGCTCGAGCGTTAAAGACTCGAGGTTTCACGACTCAAGCTTCGAACCTTGAGGGTTCGAGCCTTTAGGGTTTGAACCGCGACTCGAGCTGTTAAAGCTCAAGACTCGAGGCTCATTTTAACAACACTAATCTGAATATATGAGATAGTTGAGAATTTCGATTCGGGAATAGATCACAGCCGCGTACACTGCGGTACTTACGATTAGCACTCACGTTACATTGTAAAAAGATGACTTACTCATTAATATATGATTACTGATTACAAAAGAATATTGCAATATTATTTTCCAAATATTTATTAGCGTTTTTATTACAATATTTATACGCATAAATATTTGTAAGGTATCTACATCATATGTTGTTTCTGTTCCTTTAAGACATTTTCCTTTTATTTTTTTCTATTTTTCATTTTTCAATTGCTTGTCGTCTGCCTTTTCTTCTTGCACATTTTTCTTTTAACAGATGCCGTGCTCAAATATGCAGTATTGTACGTGGCTGTTAGTGCCGCGCAAGATGCGTATATGTATATCGCCATATCTTTTACAATAATTTATTAAGCAGTGTGATAATTGATAAAAATCTTCCTTGTAGGTATATTGTTACGTATGAAGAATTTTCTATCATACCTCTCGCTTTAATATTCTGAGCTCCCACCCGGCAAAGGAAAACGCCCTTACGGTTTCGTTATCTCTTGAGTAAGCGAGGGAGTAAAACCCGTTCCCACGGCGTGGTAACCAACAAATTAGGAAGCGTGACGCAACTTCAACCGTCAAAAATTTCCTTATATGGACATTTCATAGCATCCCCACCAATTTCTAGGCCTATATAAACCCGTTGATTTTAACCCTCGGGGGATCAGAACTGTATCGTCGCCTTTAGTGTCACTTCGCGTCACGTTCTTGTGAGTTGGTCATTACGTTAGTGAGATCGGGCTAAAGTTCCCTTTCGAATCCAGTTAACCTTGTAGTAAACCGGAAACACTTTATTTGTATTCCGGTTAGAATTATGTATTACTTTGGCATTATTCCGTAAAAACCACTCGCAACCTCCCCTTCGCCAGTGCGTTAACACCGAGCACCTGTTTATTTTGGTAATAGTTATTGTTTCATTATTACTTACTACTACGCGACAACACTACACAACATATTTGTAACTAAAGACGGATTAATTGTACTGTTATTTTATAAATCTGTGTAGTTCATTTTGAATCCATAACACGATCCAGAAATCTGTAGTATTATCGATATACTAGTTTCCTCTAGTTTAGAATAATATCAGGTCGACCGTTCCCACACTAATACAACTTTACCGCTCGAGTTGTATTAATTACAAACTCAAAGGTTACGAGGCACTAACTAACATTTTCTAACGGGTCTCTGATTTCGCATCAGGTTCGTCCGTGCATTACATTTTTCCAAGAGTATTTCCAACCCAGTGGCTCTCCGATTTCGCATCGGATTCCTTCACGAAACTTAGCCAATCCTGCGGCTCCCTGATTTCGCATCAGGTTCGTCCGCATCCTAACAGCTCCTTGATTTCGCATCAGGTTCGTCTGAACAGATTTTCCACCCTCCTCGCAGCTCCTCAGTTACGCGCTGAATTCGTCTGCAAAATCACATCCTAGTGACCCCGATTTCGCATCGGGTTCGTTCACGAATTTCACCATCCTGGGGCTCCTTGATTTCAAACATTCTAGCAGCTCTCTGGCTTCGCGTCAGATTCATCCGCGCACCTTACTAATAAACTGATACCATATTCTTTGGAAAACCTAAACTCGTCGGCGTCTCGTGTTGCTACGGCCCGGGCTCGTAACAATATTAAGAAAAAATTAATGTTCCTCAAAATTGCCTCGATACTTTTTATCGGCAAATGTTGAACAACATGGTTACTACCCAATATTACTTTGTAATTAAATATCTCCGATAATAATGATTGGACAAAAAACTGTAAATATAAAAAATGAGTGTCATGACGAGCTTAACAACACTATATTTTTTAAAATACAGGTTACCAACATTTAATTTCCCAATCTTTTTTAGCGTTTTACAATATTTGTTCGGATTTTCGAGAGCTAGCCCTCTTATTGCATTTGATTTTTCAATTATGGTTTATTAGAGTCTCTAGTGAATATATTTGAAACTCGGAATTACTATAACTGCTAGTATTTGAAGTTTGGTACATGGAATCT